TTAGGAGAGGTTGAAAATTATAAAAAGAAAATTAACTAGATGTTTAATATACAACTAAGACTATAAGTGTAATAACATTAAGTATTGCAATATATAACGGCTACTGATGTATTTGTTTTCCTACTTGATAATGCTAAAAAACCTACCAAAATATTTTGTTTAGAACTTAAGATCTATATAATTTTTACAATAGCAAATAATAACTTACAGTTGTATTTAAATGTAAGCGGTCAACCTAAGTTGCAGGAATTTTAAATGAATGTAAAGTTAAGCAACGATTTATCTACCATTTGATAATACAAATACCAAAAATTATTTTCAAGGGAAATAACTTTCACAAGAATAGCTAAATTAACCAAGTGTAACTAAGACATGCTTGGAAAACACAATAAAACGCTCTAAATTTTATTATATAATAATTATAACAATTCTTTTATATTAGCTAAGTAATTTTGAGAAAAAAATATATTTTATCTATTGAATACTTAACTGCAGGTTTTGTTTGAAAGTCTAAAAATTGTATCTTTATTATAACATACTTCTATTCAATTTTGATGACAATCATTTATCTGCGTTCCAGGTGTGCGAAATATATGTATGTTATAAAGTTTTAGATCCTGAGTGAAAAAAAAAAAATGATCCCCTGAGTTAAGGGACACCCTTCAATAAAATCAGACGCAGGTAACTGTCTTAGACATTGCTAGAATTATTGATTAATTATTTTAAAAAATATAATTTGAAAAAAAAAACTTAACCGTTAGTTATAAATTCCAACCTATTTAATATTATATATTAATACTTTAAGAGGGGTCGGCGTGGTCGCGTCGGTAAAGCTCATGGTTGCCAAACCCAAAAGTATCGGGCAGATGAGGCTCGTTAGCTGGGGACAGACACTCTTCTAGGAGAGACAGCTCCAAAATCAAACAACTGCTGCCTTGTAGTTTGTTCTTGGTTGGACAAAGGCTATGGAAGCTAATCCAAAAAGAAAGGCTGAAATCGGAGTCAATGGCCTCAATGGCGCATAACCAGTTGACACGTATCCTTAATTTTGATGGAAGCGTGGTCGAGTTGGCGAAAGTTCATGGTTGATAAATTCGAAAAAAGTCTCGAGTTCAAACCCTCTGGCAGATAAGGCTCGATCCCTTCCAACGCTAAAAATTAAGAACGAAGAAGAAAAGAAGAAATACTTTAAGAGTGGTAATATAAATTCCTAAAAACTAAAGATCTTTCAACTATTACCAATCAGATTCCACTAGACCTTCAACTACAAAACAGCCGAATAAAAATTATGACACTTTAACACTTCGATACTTTATACCTACGAAACCATATCAGCAACAGTCCTCTGTCGTTACTCCCAAATCTAAACGATCCATCAAAACTTACCAAACAAGTACAATACTTTGAACACCTTGTCATTACAAAACTCTATACATCAAGACAGATTTCTAATTCAAAGTCAGAGAAAACGAGACTTACAAGCCCTATTAAAATTAGATAACAGTTTGAAATGTTCGAAATTTAAATTACGAACTTATTTAATCGTTTTCTACATCAATTATGTGACACCAAATTAGAAAGCTAATGTGACTGGTAAAAAGCACACCGACCTTTCCAAATTGGGGAGGTGGAGTTGCATTTTCACCATCGCGAATAAATATAGGCCAGTATAGACCTAATTTTGGAGTGTGAGTGCAAAATTGATAGTTCGTCCTGGGTGCCGGAATATATCGCTACTCCTTTATAAAAGTTATTAGTTATTAGGTACTTTTTGATAATAGTCTAATGCCTGCCTGGTGATGTTGCAAGTTGGTTTACGTAAGGTCAGAGGCGTAGGGAGGGGGGGGGGGCCTGGCTGCGGACCGCACCGGGTGACACCATTTTAGGGGGGTGACACCAAGGCAAAAAATAGCAACATATATAGAGAAAAACTTGAGGGGGGTGCAAATCGAAAGTTTGAGGGGGGGTGCAAATCAAAAGTTTGAGGGGGGTGCAAATCGAAAATTTGAAAGTTTGTCCCCGGGAAGGGCCGCTACGCTTCTGGGGGGTGACACCATTTAAGTGCCGCACCGGGTGACACCCGACCTCGCTACGCCACTGCGTAAGGTGTTAACAATCCATTCCCATTAGCGTTTTCAAATGTCTTTGCCAATAGGGTTTTCTTCAGTTTTTCTTCATAGTTCCTCGTTGTTGTTTTTTTAAATGTACATTTGTTGGCAAAGTGTCGTCCCGGTTCTACGCTCCCTGTCACGTTTCTGTGCCCTTGGCATATGTAAGGGATAGTGTGGTCAGTGCTATACCCAGCCATCTTTACTTTCATTAACATTAGTTAGGTACCCATCAGAGCTGGGTGAACTCAGGGACGGTCAACTAACTTGAACCCGGATTCGAACTCGAGACACACGGGTTAGCAGTCTAGCTGAGTAGCTCCCTACCGCTAGGCCACTCTGTCCCCATCCACTCCCCAACGAAAAAAATTATCGCTCCTATTGTCGGGGGTGGATGTTATGAAGTAAGTAAGCAAAGTTCCCTTTATGACAGGTGAAGTAGAGTCCACCTGTTTCTGTGACCTCGGCATTTGAAGAGATAGTGAGGTTAGCACTATAGCCAGACGTCTTTACAATTCTCTCACGTAACTCAGGTACTCACCAGACCCGGGTGGACTCTGTGACGTGCTACGACTCTAGCCAGGGAGCCGAACTCTTAGACTTTCTGGTTAGCAGTCGAAGACGCTAGTATTCGACCACGCTGTCCCATTGATGTTATGGAACCAGAGTCAAATACTGTTTACAACTTCATGGGGGGGGGGGGGGGGGGCAGTGTTTCTTCCAGACTTTTTTCTTCGGGGGGGGGGGGGGGGCACTGTTAAAAGTATATATTTTCCATATAAATTATATAAATTTCATTTCGTTCGGAGGGGGGGGGGGGCGGTAGAATTTTTTCGGGGGGCCCCGAAGAGATGCCTGGAAGAAACTCTGATGGGGGGGGGATGCATAAAAACAACACTGGTTGTTAAAGGGTTTTATATCAACACACAACTAATCATTAACACCCAAAATAAGATTATTGACATAAATCTAAATAAGAGGGACAAATGTATAATTTCCACTGGAAACATGGAGGAGAGAGATGGAAGAAGTGCAGGCTACTGGCAAGACCTGGCATGAATTAAAGTGGCTCGTCCAAGACAGAGTGGAATGGCGGAGATTTGTGGTTGCCCTATACTCCACAGGGGGTGACGAGGATTAAGTAAGTAAGTAATGTATAGTTTAGGTTTTGTAAAAAGTTACAGTTTTAAAATTGTGGTTATATTTTTCTTGGTTTTTCAAGTTTCGGCGAAACAGAATCTACTCTCAACCAATCAGTCTGAGGTTATGTGACTGAAATTATAGAACATACCACAACATGATAAAACAACATATGTTTAGAACATTTAAAAGTTGGTGCCAGCGAAAATTGTCCTTGTGGTATGGCCTCGGAAACACCGAACATGTCCTAAGACTGCAGCGTTATACCAAGCAGTGGCGTCTCAAGGGGGGGGGGGTCCAATTTTTACCCGGGGACAAACTTTCGATTTGCACCCCCCCCCCCCTCAAACTTTCGATTTGCACCCCCCCCCCCTCAAACTATCGATTTGCACCCCCCCTCATACTTTTTATATATACCGAGGGGTCTATGGGGGGGGGGGTTATGACCCCCCCTAACCCCCCCCCCCCCCTGCCTACGCCACTGATACCAAAAGATGCAGTCTAGACTCTGGCTCCAAACATCCTACTCAGAGAAAAGGGTATGGGGAGCTTGCAAATCTGGAGACGACGGTGTTGTTTGCACGTTAAATGTGTATAATTGGTTCCTTTTCTAGGAGTTTCTAAGATTTCTCCACACACAATCTGGTAAAAATCAATCCGAATTATAGCAGTGCTCACTCCCAGGGGCGGCGCTACCTATAAGGCGAACTAGGGGTTTTTTAGATTGGAATCCCTAAGGAAAGTAGGTAGGCCAAAACAACGTTGGAAAAAATCAGTAACCAGTGAAGCAAAAGCAACCGGAAAGTCGAGGGCCCAGCTTGAGGAAAAATACATTTCTTTCAATCTGATTTTAGCCCGAACATATTGGTTTGTAATTAAACAGTTTTTTTTTTTTTGCTGCTTCTTAAACCAACACATTTATTCTGCATTTGTAATGTTGACGACTATATGCGAGAAGGCAGAAATGATCTGCGAAAACAGTGTTTAAGGTGTTCTGTCCACTGGATTCCAGCAAAAATAGTAGCATGCAGCAGTGGCGTAGCGAGGTCGGGTGTCACCCGGTGCGGCACTTAATGGTGTCACCCCCCCCCCCCCCAGAGGCGCAACGACCCTTCCCGGGGACAAACTTTCAATTTTCGATTTACACCCCCCCCCTCAAACTTTCGATTTGCACCCACCCCTCAAACCTTCGATTTGCAACCCCCCCCCCCCCCCTCAAACTTTCGATTTGCACCCCCCACCTCTTAAAAGGCTATTTAACACTCTAATTAATCACTCTATTAAGTGGAATTATCATTTTTCTCTATATATTTTGCTATTTTTTGCCTTGGTGTCACCCCCCTAAATGGTGTCACCCGGTGCGGTCCGCACCCCCAGCACCCCGCTCGCTACGCCCCTGGCATGCAGTAAACCCCTGTATAGGGCCGATTTGCTGATAATAATACTAAATTTTATTATTATTTTGGGCTAGCATCTGAGAGCAATAAAATAATGTATAGGAATATTAATGTTTTATTCAGTTTACGTATTTAAATTTAATTTACAAAAATTGATTATACCCATGCCATACACAGCCATGTTAGGCCTAGTATAAATGGTCTAAAGCTGGTATCGACTTAAGATAAAGTTTATAAAACGATACTAACAGTTGGTCTACTCATCCTGATGCTGTGAGATTTTTAGGCCATACAGTACCAAGCCTAGCCTAACTATCTGGACAGGTAACACGAGTTCTTCCGGGTTAAAGTTGAGTGTGAAAGTTGAGTGTAAAATGATGGAGGAAGAGTCACACGCGATAGGTGATGTTTACAAGTGTACATTTAGTGGCTGCGATAAATCATTTAAACGAAGAGACAGGCTATCTGTGCATATCAGGACCCACACTGGAGAGGTTTTCAACTTTAACATAAATACCGTTTTAAGTAGAACGGTCGATATTTTACAGCGACCCCTGAGGCCGCCTTAGCCTTCTTCAGAGTTCTTCTCTTAGGACGTCTTTGCCAAAGGCCAAAGACTCTTTGGTCTTAGTCTTAAGTCTTAGTCTTCTTAGTAGTTAAAAACTCGTAGTCACTCTTCATAGCCGCTTAGTTACAAGTAGTAGATCTAGAATCTAGCTAGACTAGGTCTAGATCTATAATTATATTTATATATTTTATTATAATCTATAGTATAGACAGTATAGTAATTTAAACTTAATAACACTAACCTTACAGTCCTAACACTACTAACAGTAACAATAGACACTAGACAGCAATCAGTACTCAGTAGCAATAGCCAAAACTATACCCATGATTATTAATTATATTTTATATTTATTATGATATTAGTTATTAGGCCTATATTATAATTAGGCCTAAGTATATTATTATTTTGGCCTAACAGGACTTAAATTTAAAGTTCATAGGTCTCTAGGAGGAGAGGCCTAAGCTGAGGCCTAGTTCATTTATAAAATTATAGGCCTACCCTAATTATTTAATTAACCTATCTAATAACTTACTTAATTTAACCTGTTCCATTGCTAAGTAGGCCTATATTAGAACAATTCAAAAATTGAAGCTTAAAAACTAAAAAAAGTGACTTTGAGATTGAAATAGTTCATTCTTTAAACACCTGTGTAATTCTGGCAATGAATATCAAGACAAATTTTGCATGACTGTCACTAATATTAATTACAGAAGCTTGATATTTTCTGTGGATTTCTGTTTATTTTATCTCAAAAAAGTTAAATAAAACATAAAGTTACTACCCAGGACATATTAGTTACTCAAGCTCAGGATTTGAACTCGAGACTTTCACCAGTTTAGCAGTGGTGTGCATTGGTGTCCAACCCGTATTAAAATGATTCAATTACATTTTATTTACATGATACAGTTATTTCAAAACATGAATTTTAAAAATGTTTTAATTGGCGATCAACATTTTTACAAACATAAGGCAGGCTTTTATTTGCTTTTTTGATATAACAAAGACCATTTTCACTGTTTCCCCAGCGGCCATTTGTCTGCACAGTTGAAGGTTGCAACAAAACTTACACCAGGAGGCAGCATTTGACAGGGCACACTGAGAGAGTTCATAATATCGATTATTCAGCTGAACAGAAAGTTAGGTATGTAATGTGGTACGCTACATGTAGGCCTGCTGTGAGATTAATACAATTCCAATTTTTATCAACCCAATATTAGACATTGATTTGTTATTTATTTTTCTTTAATTTCCACTCCGTTTAGCTATTTTATGATTTGAATGCCTTGACGTGATATTGTTTTTCTTGTTTTAAATAGCACAAATCAAACACGGAATGTCATTCTTCTAAAATATCTGTCTCTTTCTTACTAGTCATTTTCTTGGAAATTTAATTAGAAAAGGGATTTTTTTAAACATTTAAAAGTGTATATAAAACAAGTAAATAAATAAAATAGGTGTATGGTTAAAATTGTACTAGGTAGGGATGTATAATGTAAATATCTTGATCAATAAAAGGTGAGCAAAAACATTATTATTCTTTATACGTATCTTACCTAGGTGTGCCAAGTGTGGATTGGATTTTGCAAACAACTTCAGTTTAAAAAACCATTTCTTAAGATTTCACAAAGATTCAACACCCATAAAATCCTATAAGGTGAATTTCATGTCTGTTTTGAGCCTTAAATAATGATTGTATAAGAAAAACATTTTAAGTAGACCTCATGTTAAATGTTACAATACTACTTTCTTTCTGATCTGAAGTAATTTTTGCACATTTAAATGGTAACATTACCCCTTCAGTCTTGATGAACCATAAGGAAATTTAAGTAGAGTTAGTACATTTCTTTAATTGTAATGTAAAGGAATTGTGTGCTCTGTCCAGCTACTTTTTTTTCCCTGACTCCCATTTATGTACCCTTCATAAAAAGGTGAACACAAGTGTTTCTTATGATGGAGCTTTGGGTTTATGTGTTTACCAAAGTTCTTTGTCTCCTCTCTAGTGCACAGAACAAGGTTGCAATGAAAGCTTCCACAAGAAGAAACAGCTGATTGTTCATAGGTTGCTTCACACACCACACACAGCATTAGCCAGCAAATGTTACAAGTTTGTTTTGTTTACAACTTCTTGTCTTTAATCACTGTGTAACACCATAATTGTTTTTGGTACATTTTTTAAAGTGGTCCACATGTGGATTTACCAATATTTTTCCTTAGTTTTACTGTATTATTAGTGTGTGTAATTCTTAGATTGACAACTAGCAAATAATTTTCTGTTTGCATTGTCTTTTTAAAAAAATACTTTAAATATATTTAAACAGTTAGAATATTGAAAAAATATAAAGAGTGGAGCCAGTAATGCATGTTTTGACTTATAGTCTGTTGAAATTAATCGTTGTACATTGCAAAATATTCTTTCTTTCAGATGCTCATTTGAGGGTTGTCAAAAAAGTTTTACCTTCCCCAACAAACTAAAACATCATTTAAAAGTACATCAAGGTTAGATTTCATACTTTATTAACTGACATTTGAATGGTTTTACTAGTAACATTTTTTTTTCCACAGTTTTGTGTAGTTTTGTAATTTTAGTATCCTAATTTATTTATCAATTTAAATATTGTTCAGGCTATACTTGTACATTTCCTGGGTGTGAATTGGTCTGTACGAATTGGTCTTCTCTCCAGAAACACAAAGCAGCAGTGCATGCATCTGGTAATTAATTCATCATTTTTATAAATAGTTAACAAATTCATCCCTTAGTGTATTTTTTTAAATTTCCTTCAATTTATTTGCCATTTGTTTATCTTAATTACTTGAAAAATTTTCTAATACTTTTCATCCTTTTTTACGTAATTTTATTTTGTTTAAACTTACTGTTTCGAACTAAAAATTAATCTTGAGTTAGATTGTTTAGTAGGGCTGATTTTCCAATCAGTCAAATAGAATTTAGTAAATATTTGGTAAATATTGAAATAAAGTTAGCTATTTTATTTTTAAAAGCTGTTTTTTTTCTTCCAAATTTCAGTTTATAGTTGCAATACTTGCAATGCCACGTTCAAGCAAAAGTCAAACCTCACGCAGCACATTAAAATTCATGCAACATCTCGGCCTGCTATACCATGCCCAAAGGAGAAGTGCAATAGAATATTTTTTTATCAGAAAAATCTCACACAGCACATCAGGGAATTTCATGAGGGGGAGAAGATTTGGAAAAATAAACGAATTAGAAAAAATATTTGTCCTAAAAAGGTAGGTTATTTATAGACAATTTAAAAAATAATTGCAATTTAGTTTCATAACTTAATAGTCATTTGGGATTGTTTGTACTATAACTTTTAAATATCTGTTTAATGTAATCTTGATTAGGATAAATATAAGAGTTCCCTACCTAGCAATCCCTGTATTGTTTTCATCATTCACTCTCTTCAGCCACCAGTGACTAAATTATTGCACTATCTTATTAAAATTAATTTTAGGAACGCAAGTCTCCAACTAAAAGATCCATGGCTGCTCGCTTATGCGGGTTAGATGATAGAACCGATGTGAGTTTAATAGTGACTTTTTAAACTTCTAATTTTGCTTTTTAGCATAATTTATTTGTTATTTGATGATTGAACTAATGCAAGTCAAAAACTGACTTCTTTTAAGCATTACCTTTTAGTTTATAGCTTAATTTTGGCTTATTCTTTTATTTTGTTTAGATAATTACCATTATTTTATTGACTTTTTTAAATATTACAACACCTGAGCATAAATTATAAACAAATGCTTTGTTAATTAAAAATTTTGTTTACATCAGTTATCACTTGTAATTTTGAATATAAAATTCCATTTATGCAGTACTCATTAACTTGTTTGAAATTTCTTTTATTTTAAGGAGCTGAAGCTTTACAAAAGTAAAAAAGTAAGTTTAAGATTTTTAATATGATTGAATGAATGTGTTTTTAAAAAAAAATATTCTAACCATTAAGTTTCTGATTGTAATCATTTCATGACTTATTTATTTAATTTAGATTTCGTTAACATTAATATTTTGTCTCAAATTATTTTCCAGGTGGCAGCACAAGAGGGAGTTCAACCTGAATTAGAACTCAACACTGTGTGCAGCTCTGAGTTGAGTGAAGTTTGTGACCCAGTGTTGGCTGTTGAGGCAGTCGATGATCCTCCCATGATGGAATCAAATGAAACTGAGAGTGTTTCTTGCTTGCTTGAGACTAGTCACATCTCACAGAGTGCGCCAGATAAACTGTCTCTGGACTATTGTTGCCAGTCTGATCTTAGTCAGACAACTGGGGAGTATTTACCTGGAGATTCTGTCAATCTTCCATTGCTAGAAGACTCTTCTACTCTGCCATTACTAGAGTACCCTGCCACTGTACCATATCTTGATTACCCTGTGATTCTTCCAATGTATGAAGACACTGAAATTCTACCTGTGATGGAAGTTCCTGCCACTTTACCACTGCCAGAAGAGCCTGCTACTCTACCATTACTAGAAGATCTTGCCACTCTACCAATGTATGAAGACACTGCCATTCTACCTGTGATGGAAGACACTGCCACAACACTACCAGAAGAGCCCATTACTCTAGCAATGTATGAAGACACTGCCATTCTACCTGTGATGGAAGACACTGCCACAACACTACCAGAAGAGCCCATTACTCTAGCAATGTATGAAGACACCACCATTCTACCTGTGATGGAAGACACTGCCACAACACTACCAGAAGAGCCCATTACTCTAGCAATATATGAAGACACTGCCACTATACCTGTGATAATTAACCCTGCCTCACTATCTTTGCTTGAAGATCCTGCCACTCTACCTATGATGGAAGATGGTGTCACTCTACCTATGATGGAAGATGGTGTCAATCTACCTATGATAGATGAAGGTGTCACTCTACCTATGATAGAAGATGGTGTCAATCTACCTATGATAGATGAAGGTGTCACTCTACCTATGATAGATGGTGTCACGCTACCTATGATGGAAGATGGTGTCACTCTACCTATGACGGAAGATGGTGTCACTCTACCTATAATGGAAGATGGTGTCACTCTACCTATGACGGAAGATGGTGTTACTCTACCTATGACAGACGATGGTGTCACTCTACCTATGACAGAAGATGGTGTCACTCTACCTATAATGGAAGATGGTGTCACTCTACCTATGACAGAAGATGGTGTCACTCTACCTATAATGGAAGATGGTGTCACTCTACCTATGACAGAAGATGGTGTTACTCTACCTATGACAGACGATGGTGTCACTCTACCTATGACAGAAGATTGTGTCACGCTACCTATGATAGAAGATGGTGTCACTCTACCTATGATAGAAGATGGTGTCACTCTACCTATGATGGAAGATGGTGTCACTCTACCTATGACAGAAGATGGTGTTACTCTACTTATGACAGACGATGGTGTCACTCTACCTATGACAGAAGATTGTGTCACGCTACCTATGATAGAAGATGGTGTCACTCTACCTATGACAGAAGATGGTGTTACTCTACCTATAATGGAAGATGGTGTCACTCTACCTATAATGGAAGATGGTGTCACTCTACCTATAACTGCAGGCCCTGTCACCCTACCAATACTACAAACTTTTCTCTGCATAGAAAATCATCCAGTTGATACTGAGTTCACAGAGAGTAGTGAGTCTATGGTGTCACGATAGACTTAAAAACATTTCTTAGCTTTCCTGTGATAGCATTTAGAATGATAGTTACTAATATTTTTGTTGCTACCCGATGGCTTTTATTTATTAGCATCTCACACTCAACGTTCTACAGCATTATTCTTCAAAAAGAAAATTAATTTATTTTTATTGTCTATGCATTTGATTTTTGTTAAAACATGTTTTAAAGACCCTACCAAAGATTTAATGATTGTTTTAACTGATGGTTAGATTGATGTCACCTTCAAGTAAAGGCCCTTGTTAAAATGTTAAACATTTGCTTGTCTCCTTTTTTAATTAACTTGAATTGTTGCAGTTGTTTAACATGCCAATTATGTTTATAAACCATATCAAGTATTGTGTGATTATGCAGATTTAAAAAATCTTTTAACCTAAATGTCTTCAGCTCAAATATTTTTTTTGTCTGTTAAGTTAGTTGCCCAGAAAATTTGATGAACCACTAATATAAGGAGGTTGAATACATTTATATTGCTCTGAAATACTATTCAGTTGAATCACCCTTCAAGTATTCCACTATTATAGTTACAGCTTTAAAGCACATTTTTACTATCTGTATAAATGTACAATATTGAGTCAACTGTAATGTATATTGTTTAAATATGACTTGTCCTAGTCTTTTGGTTTTTTTATCGTACTCCTTTGTGGTAAAGTGTCAATAATCTGTTATCTGAGTAACATGTTGGCTTTGTCAAAGTCCTTCATGTTATCATTTTTCTGATCATTGTCTCTTTCATCACGATTTGAAATGCACCATTGAAGTAGTTGGGGGGGGGGGGGAGGGGGGGGGGCGACACTCAAGCCAGGGACCCGAATGTTAAGTATAATTTATTTGAATAAAAATAATGAAGCACACTAAAAATAATACTTTGAACATAAAATATTTTATTCAAAGTTACATTAAATTTTAAAGAAAAATTGAATTGTCATTTACATTCATAGAATACCAAACCAGTGCATAATTACTACACATTTAAGAAATAACAAATTAACTAGCTAATATTTTAACCATGTAATAATATTTGTCAGAAGATTTTTGATTGTATCAATTGACATAATTTAACAATTTTCAAATTTGATGATTTCAAATGGGGTTTAACTTTATTAGAAATTTAAAAATATTTCTGTATCAGAATTGGTCAACACATCCAATTGAGAAAGTTGAAAATTCAGACCACTGGACATTTTAAAAGTGTTTTGCCAACATAGGTCATCATCCATATTTATTAAGTATAGCGTAGATATTTTTTAAATTTTATTTTATTAGGGGTCATCCATTTATGACGTCCACACGGGGGGGGGGGGGGGGGTCCGGAAAAAAAACTGACTTTTGTGGACACATATGGATAAGGAAAAAAAAAGTGGATTTTTGTGGGGGGGGGGGTCCAAAATAAAAAAAAAAATTGTGGATGTCATAAATGGATGACCCCTTACTGAAACTGAGATGAATACTTTTATTTTTCCATAAACAAAAAAGCAAAAGAACTAAAATCACTAATACTAGAAGCTAGAAACTGCACTACAGAGCTACAGGAAACAGACATGGAATTATTGTATAGATTTTTGAGTGTGACCTAAACAGTTCAAGACAATACAAAAAATTAGATTGTAAATTGTTAAAATATGTACTGAAATTATAACACTTGAAACAAAATGAAACTTTCATTTTAAATCGGTTATGAATGCAAAAAATATGTTAAATGGTGATGAAATTAGAAATATGTTACCAGGTGTGGACCAGATTTAAGAAAATGTTAGTTTTAAATTGTACCAGACTACAAGGATTTTTATCACAGATACTTCATATTAGGAGAATGGGATGGCATCCCATTCAATTCTGTCAAACCAATTTTTAACAACAAAAATAATGCTGTTTTATGTTAAACAGGCCAGTCACAATTATTATTTCTTGAATACATAAATGCCAAAAAAGATTTAAGGTCAGAATAAGAAATTTTGACAATTTTAATTTGACAAACCATTTTATTACTGGGTAGCATTTTTAAATAGACTTGCTGCATTTGTGCACTGTATGAATATTGTGTGACTATTTATTAAAAGAATTACAGCAAATATTTTTAAAACTCAGCTAATCGGGTATAGAAGTTCACATACAGAAGTATATTTTTCATAATTGGTAAATAAAAGCTTCAAAAGAAAATTGAATAAAATATAAAACAAAAATCACAACTTTTTAATGTTGATTACCTAACTAAAACTTTAGGGACTAAAGTTGTTTCACGATTATTTTAGCAAAAACATAGTGAAATGTAATGATTTATCTTTACTTCAAAAACTGTTTAGTAGTAAGAATTAGAGAGATAGCTGCCTAATACATCTCCTTCAGACAATTATTTTTTCAATTAAGAAAGAATACATTTAAAAATTAAATTTTATGTACAAAAAGACTATTTTTATATATTGATATATTAACGACATTTATTACTTCTGGGAAAAAGTTTTACTATCTCAAAGTATAAATTTTTATAATCCTTAGGCATTGTGAATTTCAATTAAGAATTATTACATGAAAATCTAAGTGGTCTAAATTAGCCATACCTGCTATTAGTAATGTATAAGCAATTTTTTTTTCATGCTTAAAATTTAACCCTTTGAATTTTACCCTGCATCATAAGGATCCATTGCAAGTTAATCAATATTCAACACTATATAGGAGGTTGATAGTCACATATTGGCTTTAGTACAATTCACAAAACCATTTTTTACTTTTTATTCCTAAGAAAATGGATTACTAAAACAAGTCAAAATGTAAAACTAGTGCAAACATGTTAAAATTTATTTCCAAATTGTATCGTAAGGGTTACTTTGAATAAAGTAAAATGCGTTTTTTAAACATTGAACAACATTAAAATTTTTATTTACAACAATATTTAAATATGTACACAAAAAAAGTAAATATAATGAACATATATTACAAAAATCATAGGAAATTTCTGATATTCGCAAGTTGTTTTCAAATACAAGGATGATGACAATATGTGCAGTCTACAGTTAAGCTCACTAAGTAAGAAGAACAGGAAAATAAAGCAAGTTTAAAGCAGTATAACAAATCCCCCACTAACCTACATGAATTGAACATTTAAATTTCACAATATAATGAAGTTAAAAAACAGTTTCATTGAATAATAGAAAAATATTTACTTTTTGCTGAAAATGTGAAATGCTGGTACACAGAAATTTTCTTGTTAATAAATAAGATTGTGATGTTATGTTTTTATCACCTTTTGTTTTTCTTATGGCACAACTATCTGACTTAAATTAGAAACACTTTTCATAGACATATTTTCATGGACAAGGCATTAGAAGTATTTTTAATTAATGTTTATAATTCCTTATTAAAGGAAACCCAAAAAACCTTAATTGAAAAAAAAATTATTCAAATGGTATGTGTGTTTTAGTCCATTATGCACTTGTTAGTTAATTGCGGTCGTCGAAGTTCATTATCTTGTTTAAAGATCAGGAATGGAGTGATCCATCAGTTTTTTAACAATACTGTTGCCCATACTGTAAAATAAAAAGTTGCATTGATTACCCAGAAAACAAAGCAGCTAATTAAAACAATTTAAAGCTAATAAAATATTTTTAATTAATTATTTCTTTGACAATTTAACTAAAAATCCTATGTAATATGCAAAATGTAAAAACATGTAGAAATCAAAACATACCACTTAATGATGTGATCATAAATAAAGCAAGGCATAACTGTGACAGTGATAGTTCTTCCTGATGCATCAATAATTTCACCAATTTCTTTGTCCTAAAACAAATAAATTATCTTACTTAAAAAGTGATCTATACAACATAAGAACTGTTAAAGTACCGGAAATGTATTGTGTTACAAAAAATAAATAATTTAAAAACAAGCAATTAAAAGTGTGAAGTATCAGAACAGTTTGAAACCTACCTTTAACCCAACAACATTTTGGCCTCCAATTTCAATCAACTGATGGTCAGTTAAAAGCCCATTGCGAGCTGCAGAGGAGTCTTTGACTAATGATTTAATGCGACCGTCCTTGAAAACAAAACCAACAAATCCATTGCTGTCTTTTTGCATTGTAATTGTACGTTCAAAAGGCCTGAAAAATTTTTTGTGGGAAAAATATTAAAACAATTTCTAGTTTAAGGGATTATAATATCAAATAGATCTTGACTATTTTACTTTCAAAAAAGAGATGGAAAAAAACCCGGAAAATTTGAACAAAAAAGCATATTGTTAAAATTTACCTATCTCTAACAGCCATTTCAATTCTCTGGGCATCAGCTTTCTTCAGGAAATTATGTGCTTTGTCATTGTCCCAGCCTGCAACTGTCTTCCCATTAATCTGCAGGATCTGGTCACCAAATCTTAATCCAGCTAGAGCTGCTGGAAACCCAGCTTGGACAAAGGCTACAAAAAGACCCTAATAAAAAAACAAGAGCTTCATAAAGATTTGGAACATAATCAAAAAGACAAATACTATTTGTATAGCTAAATAGAACTTGTATAATTCTAACCTCAATATGCAAAATGTTATATTAAGTGATAATATTTTAAAATTAGATAATGGATATTCCAAACCATAGAACAATATATAGTATGTAACTATCATCAAGGAACTTACGTTGTTTACATGTCTGATACGCAGACCCAACTTGCCATCTTGATTTTTGCAAAACACCACTTCTCTGATTCCAGATTTTATTTCAGCTCTGGCTAGTGCCAAATTATTTCCTGTGATTGGTGCAATCTGTGTCTGTCCAGATTGAGTTTGTCTGATGCCAACTTGCAAGCCCTGATAGCAACAAACATTTTTTTTTATAAACCTGTTGTGTTTTCAAATGTATAAAATCTAAATTGTACTTTAAACTGAGATGCTACTAGATTTAAATTTTCCTCAAGGAACTTATTTTTAAATTAAAGTTTATTCATCTTATAGATATGTTTTCTAAAGATGCCATTGCAATTACTGGTTTAATGTATTGAATAACTAATAAGGTCTAACTCTAATGTGACTTTCTGATTTGATTAACTTTTAGATACAGAAAGTGTTTGTAATGACTGCTTGCAATTTACTTGCTGTGTTTGTGAAATGGCAGAACACTAAAATTGGCATAATGATTTGTCTGACTAATTTATTTATCCATTTTTTATTACTGACCCATAAAATTATTTTGTTTATCAAGTTTATGAATATAGTATTGAAACCCTATATTATATTTATTTTTACCTAGATTTCTGTAAAGATTTTTAAAAATTACTTTAAAGCACAGATTCCCAATCTACAGGTTGTGTTTTCTGAGAGTCACCAACTTGTAGACAAAACCAAACAAAAATATTCCCTTTTTTTACACGGGGTCAGAGGTGACTTGGCAGTTATAAATAGGGGTTGCCATTCAAAAATGTTTGGGAACATGTGCTTTGAAGAGTTTTAGTCTTTTATCTAACCTGAGATGGTACAACTTGCATTTCCTGCATCATCTGTGGTGTTATCTGAAGCCCCATGTAGTCTGTGAGGGATGGGTAGAGGGCATTTCCTACTGGTGTTGATGGAGCTGACCCACCATAACTTGGTGGCTGGGGGTACTGTAAAGCTTCTGGTGCATTTCCACCTGTGATGGCTCTTTCATGATTAATTTGTGCCTGAAATCATAGTCATTTTTATTAAAGGTAGGAAGTAATAATAAAAAGAATTACCATTTTATAATTTATAAAATAATATGATAATAAAGGAATAAAAGTTATTGGCTGCCAATAACAAGTATTAACTTGTGAAAAATGTTTTTAAATCTTGTAAAAAAAAAAAAAGCAAACAGAATCTAAATTCCTACCGTCTGCATCTGATCGACACGCATATCTTCAAGGGTAGGATACAGTCTTGACATTTTGAGTTTAGTTATTGATTACCTAAAATAGACAAATATTAGTTAACAATTAATTTTAAAATGTAAATGTCTCATTAATTAAAGATCAATCAAATCAAAATAACCGCATAACAAATGTAAAATGAGGCCTCATAATACAGTGCTAACTAAAATCACTAAAAGAAAGATGTCTTGTTTAACCAGAGACAAATGAGTAATGCCATATGGAGTAGTATGTGATTCAATCAATAATTTAAAATCTACATACTACATACTTTATGCCACATATCTTGGCATGCTCTTTTTGTAGAATGTAATGCCTACATTATGGTCAAATTTAGGTTAGGGCCAATAGTAGGACTAGAACTAGAATTGGGGAATAGCTTTTTAAATAAAATACATAGATCTACTGCCAATGTAGTAGTATCATGAAGCAGATTCACAGATTGCTATTAATTGTAAATTAATGACACCAATAAAAGAAAATAATTTGGGACATGCCAGGACAGAAATGCTAGAAAGTCTAAAAACTTGGCCTAAAAATCATTTGGTTAGGCCTACAACAAGAATTAGATCTAGATCTAGCACTTGAGTAAAGTGAACAGTGTACTAAAATATAACTAAATTGTACTAGTTTAGCTAGATTCTAGGTCTAGATCTAATCTAAATCTAGATATTAGATTTCTCTATCTATGATACAACAGAAAAACCCTCAAAGTGAAAATGAAACTACTGAAATTGAAATCATTATTTATTCAATAAATTCAATTTTAAATTTATGTTAAATTAAAATTGGCATTTCATTTGTTACCAAGAAGCACAATCAAAAGCCAAAGAGTTAACAAAATTTATAAGAAAAAATTATAAGAACACAATGTCCTGGTCTGGGAGATTCTAGACCTAGATTCTAGATCTCTCTACCTCTATTAGTAAATTATTGTAGCTTTCAGATTGTAAGCACTACTATACAGTGGCCTGTATTATTAGGCTAAACTTTAGATAATACGGAGAATGTGGCAGTCATGTGATTTTGATTTTGTATCCTGTTCTCTTTTCTGCAGCGTCACAAATACACTTTTTCCCTAAAAAGTGCCCTAGTTAACTCAAGCAAGGGAAAAGAACCCAGTTAGTTGAGTTTAATTTTAAATTAAAAGGAAATTAAATTAGGCCCACAAAAAGCATTTTTTGTAATAAAACATCTAGATTTTTCTAGATCTAGAATTAGATTCTAGAATCTAGAGCCCAGATCAAGATCTAGATTATAGATCTAGAACTAGATCTAGATCTAGACTAGATTCTAGATTTCTACCTCTAGTGAAGTGAGTCTAGCTAGATCTAGATCTAGATCTCTAGTCTAGAATCTAGATTAGTCTAGAATCTAGATCTAGAATCTAGATAAGGCGAGAAAGCCTGATAATTTACAAAAATAAACAAGTGTGTAATAAATACATACCAATACTAAAAAATAACAAGATATAATCAGATAGAATCTAGATATAAATGTGATTCCAACCAGCTCGAAACACAGTGTTGTGTTTTATTTTAGTCGAATAAAAATAAATAAAAGTTTGTCTAAAACTAGGCTAGGCAGGAGAATAAAATTATTAATTAGATTCTTCTAGCTCTACAAATTTTTCTCGGAGGTCACGTACAGAAACTAAAATAACGAATTAAGAATAAGATGAACAAAAAAAACTTAGTTAATATTTTTTTATGATTACAACACAAATATACACTTACTGTGTGTTAAAATCCTTTTATATACCTCGATTTTGTAGCTTAAAATATTAGTCACTTTCTGTCAGTCGCTTCGGGTCTATTTTTAGATTGCTTAAACACAATTTGTCACATGACGTCACCGGTCATATGGTTTTGACATCACCTCTTATCAAGTGGGACTAAGTTTTAGGAAGGTAAGGGTAGGCTTCGCAAAACACTAGGTCTACCCGTAATATCTTTTGACAAATAAACATAAGTTAACACTTATAACAAATATATATCTGTCGTTGTTTTTGTTTTGTTTTGAAATGTGTAACAATTACGCATTGTTTATTATGGCAATATACTGAGCGCGTTGCCAGATAGACTGAAGAAGCTAAGGCGAAAGTCTTGATCTTGAGGGGGTGTAATTTTTGTCACGTGAGTGAGGGTCGTTTGGGGCTAAGAAATGTAACTAATTTTCTTTACATTCGAAAGGACACATAACTAGCTTATTGAATAAAAAGAATATTCAGTTCCTGGATATTAGAATCTGGGTACAGTATACAGGCAAATAATTATTATAATTTACAATATATTTCTTGATTTTTCTAAATTTTTCTTAAAGGTCATACTATTATAGAACCTGAAAGATCAACGTATTTGGTTGTAGTAAGCTTTCGTGTTTGCAAGACCAGATTCCAAACCTGATTCCTTTTCTTTGTCATGATAAATTATTTTTAGCGCAATTTCCATTCTGGAGAATTGCGTTTATTAACTCGTCATTTCTGGGAATGGATGGATGAATGTATGGATGAATGAATGTATGGATGAATGAATGTGTGTCCGGGCTTTAAGTCGTATCTCCTCCTCAACGAAGCAATATCGATGACTAGTTCCAAAAGCAATTATGTTAAGCTAGTTACGAGAATGAGCATAGGCCATAAAAATTCCGGGTTTCTTTCATGTATTTCCCGGAAAAGCCAAAAAACCTCGAAAAAATTCAGCTTTTGGCCCATATCTCGGCAACCAGACCACTTAGCGACTTGAAACATGTACCAATCGATTCCTGCCATAATTTAGAACAATATTGCCGAAGAAAGTTTTCAAAAATATCCTTTCGTTCGGTCACAAAAAAATTTTGAATTAATTAAATTTTGACCGAATTAGTAGGCATTTTTTCCAACCACACCACACGCGTCATCACGTTCAATAGCTGCGCCATCGCGTTCCATGGCTGCGCCATCACGTTCAGTAGGCGCGCAATGGTTTTTAGTCATGTAACTCTATTGTAAATAAAACATGTAAAATACTGAAAAAAATTAATAAAAAACGTTTTAATAACTAACCAATGGTTTTACTAACCCTGCTCTTGATTTACGCTACGACAGAGCTATTTTTAGATAACGTAAGGAAATTGCGCTAAAATTGTCACTAGACTTTTTAATTACCTTGTTTTATTTAGGGATAGATCCCTACTTCTTTGTTTAAACACGTGTAAATAATAAATTTTCGATCATCGTTTCTTGTCACATTTTTGTAATATCACAAAATCGTTTTATTTAAAAGTTGTTTTCAATAATTTAAAATTTAACCGACTACTAGTGTTGGGAATGAAAAGTAATGAGGGGGATTATTATTCAAATTTGCATACTAAAACTAAATTTACGTAAGTCTACTTCATCGCTCAAAAATAAAATAAAAAACAATTTAAAAAAAAAACTAAACAAACGTGTATAAGTAATTTAATTGATACAAAGACACAACTGAAGGTTATAGACTTCAGAGTCGGGTCAGAATTCGATGGCTCGATTTCACTACCAGACATTGAATAGATCGGTTATAACAAATCTCCAAGTTCTTCCAATGGGCCTTTTGTTTGTCAATGAAATTATAGCTTTCACTGCAAGGAACACGCCATTTTTGTAGTTTCAAACTGTGTATAATAAAGAGCATATAATTATAGAGCCCACCGCCATTAAGTATATGATGTCACACTTTTGGGGGAGGGAGGGACAGAGTTTCTTCCAGGCATCTCTTCGGGGAGCCCCCCCCTTCCCCCAAAGAAAGTATACCCCCCACGAACGAAATGGAATTTATATAGAAAACATACTTTTGCCAGTGTACGCCCCCCCCCGGGAAATGCCCCCCCCCCCCCCCCAGGAGAGAAAAGTCTGGAAGTAACACTGGGGAGGGGTTCGATACTTTCCTGACCGTCAAACGCTGGGAAGAAAATTGAACCTTAAGAATCGTGACCAGTGGCGTAGGCAGGGGGGGGGGGTTAGGAAGGGTCATAACCCCCCATAGACCCCTCGGTATATATAAAAAGTATGAGGGGGGGTGCAAATCGAAAGTTTGAGGGGGGTGTGCAAATCGAAAGTTTGAGGGGGGTGCAAATCGAAAGTTTGTCCCCGTGTAAAAATTGGAACCCCCCCCCCTTGAGACGATCCTGGCTACGCCACTGATCGTGACGTAGCAAGCATGTTTAATTTCTTAAAATAAATAAAGAAAACATTACACAGTTATGGCTATTTAAGGAATGTGTATGGAACTTCAATACTTCCTTTACTTTTAGCGTTGTTCTTACTTAATGTGACGACGCTAATGGGTAGGTCTACTTGGAAATATCATCAATGGATATTAAGATCAGAATAAAGGCCTATTCGTGGTTTTTTTATAAAGAGGAAAAAGGAAAAGAAAAACCCACAAAACTACATCGACCGGACCAAATTATTAAATTTTTCCTCTCGATATGCATAAGTGAATGGTTACTGAACTTAAATATGATGCCTACAGAATGTCTGTGTTTGCTATAATATGCGTTTGAAAAAAAAAACCATTCTTCTTCGTTTTTAACATAAACACTAGACATAAACACTAATTTATCCCTTTAAAAAACGGAAGTTATTAATATTATATCAGTTTTCTGAATAATATAAAGCTTGAGGGAGTGACTGTGCGATGCAGTTCCCCCTTCAAATCTTACAGTTGTGTAAGCTTTTGAAACACTCCACATCTTGTCCCTTAGGCTTTTAGGATTGGGGAAATTATATGTAGGCTTACACGTTCTAGCATTTTAGATGGGAAGTCGTTGCTCTCTTGCGTAATTAAAGTCATCTAAAGATGCGTAACCCCTGTCAATATTAATAAAAACACACACATACTAGATCTATGTCATATAATTAAATCCAACTACTAGTGCGGTTAAAAAACACATTAGCATACGGACGTAGCAACAAAATTCGACACTGGTGTGCGTATGTGTGTGAGGGATGGGGGGGGGTATCGACCACCTTTTTGTTACCTTTGTTTAAACAATCGTCTCATATGAATATAACCTTTAAAAAAACAACACATACAATCATCTCGCATCCTCGCCATTAATTAGCCACGATGCTGATGGAGAGTGTTGAAAACTTAAACAGTAAGCAGGCGGACTGAGTAAAGGACAGATCGCATTTAAATTAAAACGGATATGCTGGTCAGATCTTTCACAGGTACATTATCTGGAAAAAATGTTTCGACCGGTAGTTAATTTCGATTAATTTATCACCTCCCCTGAAATAGTTCGTTTAACTTTACACATTTAAAATTCTGGCACTAGCCTAAACATTGGTGACCTCAAACCGGAAGTCAACATGATAGAAAATGGCTGAAATGGGCACCAAAACAGATGCGGATTCCGTCTTACCCCCATTTGAAAGGCTCAGAAGTAGTAGTGACCCTAAACCTTCTTTAGATTCAATATCTTTACCAGGCGGTAGTTTAGGTGTGTTTTATATATTTATTTAAAATTATTTTGTTACTTCCGCTAAAGCAGGAAAAAGAATAGATAGGTGCCTACGCCCTGTCTGAACTCACTGAACTCAGCTGTAAAAATAAACCTGTCTGTGTCTCTCACTTAACTTGGACTCAACTCTCATACTCACTCATCTTTTCTTCTACCATGTTATTTATTTAGGGCCTAAAGGGCTCTACTTCTAGCTACTAAGTTTTTTTTTATCATTAATTTTGTAGGTAGATTGAGATATGATTATTTTGAAATTTGTATGTCAGCAACAACTGACAACACTTTTTACTTTTTACAACACTTGACAACAGCTCACTTTAAAATAAAAATATTAGGATTATTAGGCCCTATCTAGGCCTAATATAATAATTAATAATATAAATATAAATAGGCCTAATAGTAGTAATAATAGGCCGAGCCCTAGTCTATAGGCCTATCACTAAGTTTTAGTCCCCTCATTATTTCCTAGTTTAACATGACTAAGACTTGTTTAATTGCAAAGTCTTTCCACTTTTAAGCTCATAAAACATAAAATGTAGGCTTATAGGGCCTAAAGCCCAAACTAAAATGATTTAGTTTAAAATATGTGATAACTCATTTCATGCCTGCAGAAAATTATGGAAAAATGACTGTACAAATCTTGCATGCTGGTCAATATGAATATGGCCTTAGGAAGCCAGATGTTTATTATGGTTTCCTGTGTTCATTTAATCACAATGTTTGTTTGCATTTTTAAAATGTGTAAGTCACATTGCTGCCACTCTTACATTTTTGACCCTCCCCTTAATGTTGCTGGCTTAACTTGGTACATCATCTAGTAGACCTAACTCTTTTGAATACACTTTAATTAGTAAGCTTTTATTAATTTAGTTTCACATTCCATCTTTATTGAATATTAATAATAAATGTTTGAAATTTGGTAATATGTAGGCCTTTTTTGTTTATTCGATTCATGGCTAATGGATAAAAAAGCATTCTTATAGTACTAAAATTGCTTTCAGAAAGTACTGACAAATTTTAATTCTGTGAAATGTATCACACTTTATTGTAAAATATTTTTTATTAAAACAGACTGATAGTTGTCTTTATTAGATAATACTTGAGGTTCTCAACCATGTAGCGTGTGTTTTGAAACATGTCTTTTAATCAGAGCAGGATAGACTCAGGGATGTCCTTCAGTCACAAGTCTGAACTGAGACCTTTGGGCTAGCAGCCAAATGCTCCACCTATTTGACCGTGCCATCACATGTTACTGCTACTAGTTGCATGTCAAAATCAAAATAAATAAAAAAAAAAACAGACAAAAAATATTGTCATAAAATGAGCACTGATTACAAAACGGTATAAACACTGACTCTACTTCTTCTGCCCAAAACAAACTTGCCATTTAATACAAAAGTGCTCAAATGTATTATGTTAACTTCCTGATAAAGTAGTACTTTAATTTTATATGTTGATATCAAGTGTATGGGGGGAATCCACCAAAAAATATACTTTCTGTATTATTTTTATTCAGTTCAGCAAATTATATGAATTCTATATATCATTCTAAAGCAACTGGGCATAGCTCTGACTTACCATCCCCATGTATGCTGTGATTATTGAAACAGATGGACTCTAATTCTATTATTCATGTGATCCCTGTCTTGAGCATGAACGAGTCAAGATGATGTACCATTCTATCTACAAATATGTACAGATACTGTGCTCATTTATTAATATATATAACTTATGAAAGAAATTTTTTGTCTGTTTGTTTTCTTACAAATGAGCTCTACAATAATATATAATTACTTTTTAAAATTTTGAATGATAATTTCTGTTTCCTTACTAAAATACCTAGGAATGCATTATTTAAACCATTATGTAAGTCAGTTTTATGCCCAGCTGTTTTTACTTTCCTTAATCGGAGTCAGATTCTCATCTTAATTGGTGGACTTTAGGATATCCATGATCTTAGTTAAAGACATTTGGGTTAACACTTGTGTGCACAACCACAATGGCACTTGTCTCAATTAAAAAATTATTGCAAAACAGTTTCATATTTGAACTTCTGACACTCTTGGCTAAATTATCTACAGAAAAATTGGGGAATCTGAGAACTGTACTGTCATCATTTTTTAAGTAATGCTGGTAGTGTAGTTTAAAGAATCAATTCACTAAGAGTGTTGTTGTATTTTCAAAACTTTTTTCTCAAGTCTGTGTATGTATACACATCTTGTGAATGAAGTTTGACTAATTTCAAATGGAATAATTTTTTAAAGTGTGTTTAAATTTGTTCTCAGAATTGTTTTTTTTACGCATTTTGTAGAAGGGAGATGTTTCTGTTATTTAAATATATCTATCACACATCATTAAAATATAGTTGAATAATAAACTCATTCACCTAACTCAATTAAAATTTCAGTTTACCTTTTTGTCTAAAATATAAAATAATTTGACTATAATTGTAATTAATTTTGAATTCAAACTTTTGAAATTAGTACTAATTGTAATATATTTTTTGTCCATTAAGGATACAGTTAATGGAGGAAGAGATAAAAAGTATTTTTTTAAAAATAGCAAATGTAAAATTAGAGCTACATCACTGTAAACATCAAATTTAGCAGTTTAAAATCTTTATGATTAGTAATTGTTACTCAATACTTCAGATATCCAATCACAACACCGTCACCTATTTTAGTTATCTGGTAGTGGTCACTTGTGCAATCTGCTTAGAAAGAGTTTTCATAGTCTGCTGATGTTTTTTATCACATTGGTAAAAAGGCTGTTAGTCATAGTATTAGATGTTCTTATTTAACATACATGCAAAGAGTTAGTAATCAAGGTACTTATTTTTTTGTAGTATTCAGAACACAACTAATTCGCCAGCATTTTAATTCAAATAAATAGACGTATATTAACAGCCTTATAAATCCTCATAACAAGTAATGTTTTATCCTTATGTATTAATCATTAAACATAGAATTTTGAAAGTCTGACCTAAAGTCAACAAAATATAAACAAACATGCCTGTAACTGTTGTCACTGTTGACCCATTGAAAAGCAATTGAATCCATCTTGATATAACTTGAAATACCATTGACTTTTACAAGTTTTTGTTTCACACAATGTCCTTTCACTTTACTGAAATGAAATTACATATCCTTTTGTACAAATCCAATTTTTAAATTACAATTAAGCAATCTTGAGTTTTAGAGAAATAATTTTCCCTATTAATTAACTGTAATTAACATAGAAAATCAAGAACTACATTAGATGCTATTCTCTGCTAGACATTTATATCTCTTATTTCTTGTAAGAAAAAAGATGAGTTAATAACCTAGTTTAGGCGCTCAGTGATTCAGATACCAATTTCTGAATTGCTTTAGCCTTTCCTCATCCCAAGTTAGTAGAATTTTATTAATGACACTGCTACTATTGTACCAGCTACCCTTTCTATGCTCATCACCTCTTAGGTCAAACTAAGTACCTTAATTTAAAATTATGCACTGCCTTTATTAGCAACAAAAAAAATGAATGAAAAGGTAATTTTTATGACAACCAACAAATTTTTAAAAAATTAAACAGGTGATGATGGCTTAAGTCTAGAGAATGGTATGTATCTTAAAGACATCTTGCCATTAAAAAATTTCCAGCTATACAACTTAAAACACCCGTTTAATTTAAATTAGAAAATTGCTTGTATTCTCTGCTTTGTTTTATAGTTTTTTTTTGCATTACGTTGCTTTCATTAACAGACCATGATGTAGTATTATTCTGTTGTGTAGAGGGGAGTGGACATACTTTGTTAAGAAAAACAAGCTTATGATTTAAACATTACCTTAGATCTAGATAAAATTTTAAAATGTGTATTTTAATAATCCAATTTTCGAAGAGTTTAGTTTTATACGTTTGAGCTAAATATTTGAACATTGATTTCTAATCTTTGATTAGTTATGAAGTCAAATTGGATTATTAAACTTAATTTTAAAATCAGTTTTTAATCAGTATGATAACAAAGTGCCGTCAAAGAAATTTAATCCAATTAATTTTGATGACAGATTCTCTAATTCTCATCCTAACTTTAATTAAACTTAAAATAGTCTATAACAAATATATCACTTTTTTCTTATTTACGTAGATACAAATATATACCAATAACAATTTTTTCATTCAATACTTCCTTTTTAAAAAACAATTAAATATTCTGTGCTAAGCAATAGTAATGTAGATTTTTTATAACTTTAGTATGGATTGCAGAAATTTGAAGATTCATGTTTTACTTACGTTAAATTATTGTTAAAGGTTTTATAGAAAGGGAAAATATTGATTATTGTTAATTTATTTTAGATAGACCAAAAATATTGATAACTGTTCATTTATTTTAGACAGACCAAAAATATTGATAACTGTTCATTTATTTTAGACAGACCAAAACTATTGATAACTGTTCATTTATTTTAGACAGACCAAAACTATTGATAACTGTTAATTTATTTTAGATGGACCAAAACTATTGATAATTGTTCATTTATTTTAGATGGACCAGGTGGGGACAATTCATATTTGACATCAGGATCATCCACAACACCTAGAACTGTTAGATTTATAAAGGATGGTGAGTAGAAAATTTGTGCATGCCATTTTTTTTTGTAATTAAGCTTAACCAAAACGATTATTTTTAAATTCATTTCAGGTTATGCAATTTACCAATTTAAAAAAAAGTTTCATGAGGCCTATTGAAATTTTTTTTAACCATGGATTTTTTCTTTGTTTTTTTTGCATAAGGGGACATCACCAGAATTAGAATATAGACTTCATTTTTGTTGTTACTTCCCTTAAATACCACAATTGCTATGCCAAGTTTTCAAAATATACTTAAAATGTTAATTGCTATACTTAATACATTTAACGTAAGTTGTGAATTGATTTGAATGTTTTTTGTATGAGTGATTAAGCTATTTCTAAATATCTTCAAAATAGACTTTTATTTTATAGTTTAAAGTGAGAATATCAGTAACATCTTAAGTTGTCTTTTAAATTTGGTCCATAACCAACTGTCATATAATAGTATACTTTAAAAAATGTAAGACATTTTTAAAAACTATCAGATAATCATAAGCAGCAATATTTGAATTAACATTTTTGTAGATATGTTCTCTCTACCAATACTAGTAAGTCATTAGATGCTTTGTTAGTAAAATAGTAGACACTGTATTAGTAAGTCAGTAATCACTTTATGAGTTAGTAGGCACATTATTAGTCAGTCAGTAGGCACTTTATTAGTAAGTCAGTAGGCACTTTATTAGTAAGTCAGTAGGCACTTTAGTAGTAAAGTAGTAGGCACTTGAGTAATAATTTATATGTAATTAAACATTTCAGCAGTAGGCTATAAATACAAATGCAAATGACATAAATATAGTTTCTTCATTAATAAATTGAAATTGGGTTTAATTGTCGAGTTAATTTAATAAGAAAGCTGCAGAGGCTGTAGAATTTAATGACATGCTAATTTATTCAAGTTAATTATGTATACCCATAGTGTTAGCATTGCATTAAAGTTGTAGTGCTTTACAAGAGACCTTATTGGTCCACAAGACACAGCTCACCATTGTTGTAGACTAGGCTAGCTGACACCCTGTCTAATGTGTGCTCTCTATTGTTTGTTTAGGTATTTTCGCCAGATACAGTATGTTTTATTCTATTTTTTTTTCTCTATCTGTGGGGTGGTATTTTTTTTTTATCCTCTAAATGTGGTTCACTTTTCATCTAACTAACTGGAATGTGGGTGTGCCATCTTATTTTTCTCAAACAAAATTTAAAAACTTTAAAAAATGTTTAGGTCATATGTTACAGAACCTCTTATGCTGGGCGTATGTGGCTTAGGGGTAGTCCATAAATGACGTCACACTCGTAGGGGGAGGGAGGGGGGATCCGTAATTTTGTGACGGTGTGTGATGAGAGGGGGGGGTGGTTCAGATGGTGTGACGTCACACTTTTGCATTACAAAAAAGCGTTGTTAGAAAACGAGTTTTAGCCGTTATTTCGCGTTTTAGAAAACTGTTTAAATAAATTGTCATAGAAATTAAATTACTCTATGTTGACAGTTCAGACAAGATTTTGGAAAATTATCGATGTTTTAAGGAAAATTCAACTGCAATTTTGAGGGGGGGGGGGGGTTGTGGGCTGAGGTGTGAGATTTTTTTCGGGGGGGGGGGGGTCTGGCTTTTTGTGAGGGGGGAGGGGGAGTTAAAAATCGTCCAAAAAAGCGTGACATCATTTATGGATGACCCCTTAGACATAAAGGGATGTGGGCGTGACTAGGTCAACGTTTACTGTTAAAACAATGGAGTTTTGTCTTGTTAATTTACATTCCATTCAACTCATCATGCAACAATCTGGGCCACATCTAATGGTTTCACGTGGACACTGGATGAGGTCAGGCCTGGTCAGCTTTCAAGTTTGACCTCAGCATTACTATTCTGACCTTGTATTAACCGTAACTCTGCTTCACGGGGGCAGCAAGGGAGAGTAATCGGTAATTTATTGCCTCCCTTTCTGGTGAGGCGACATGTAATAGATTACCGCTGTCGTTAAGGAAGAACATGCCGTTTGTGATGGGAGAAGGAATTATTGCTTGCATACGCCCAACGCTTGTAGTTATTTTTAAAAATTATTTAGCCATGATTTAAGAAATGCATTTGTTGTTAGTGATATAATGCAATTATAAATAGAAAGGATAATTGTTTCCGTGAAAAACATGAAATCCAATTAATTACAAGTTTTCTCTAAGATATAGTTGTGTATAGTTATGCATTTGATACGTTTAATTATTGTGTACTGTATTTAGGTATAACATAATGTACCGGTCACTTTAACAAACGCATACATTTTTACACATCTGACATATCAACCTTACACATTCAAGTAGAACACAGCAAAACATTGGGTGCTGTGGGTTGTGTTTAAACTGCGAGGTACCATCTTCTCTGGGTCTTTTTGTCGAGTGCATTGATACAATGTTCCTATACATAAGAACCTTACCCATTCAAGTACAATACTAACAGCAAAACATTTAGTGCGATGGGGATGTTGTGTTTAAACTGCGAGGTACCATCTTCTCCGGGTCTATTTGTTGAGTGGTTTGATACAATGTTCCTATACGATGCAAACATGACACGTCGATAATTTAGAGCAGCTTTCTGTTTTGGTTTGTAAAAGTCTCTACCTACTTTTTCGAGGCAGACCATGTCATTTGATGTTTGCTTGCAGCTGAAAGACTATGGTTCTGTTTTTATAAAAGAAAGTTTCTGGTTTACTTATATAAAGGCAAGCCTATCTGACGTAAAAAGCCAATGTTTCTATAAACCATGTACATGAGATAAAAAAGCCCATGTTTCTATAAACTATGTACCTGAGGTAAAAGCAATTTTTTCTGTAAACTAGGCCACCCTTCCTGACGTAAAAAGCCCATGTTTCTATAAACCATGTAACTGACATAAAAAGCCCAAGTTTCTGTAAACCAGACAAGCCTACTTGACATAAAAAAGCCCATGTTTTTCGATCACTGCACGAAGTTTACGCTCGGTTAACTCTGTTCCCTCACGTAATTAACAAGCAAACTGACACTAATTTTTTCTCCTTCTGCAAACCTCATGTTAATTGAGGCTGCGGGGGGGGGGGGGGGGGGGGGGGGTAATCTATACTATTTTAGCGCTTCAATTATTTCAACGTAATTCTTTACGAAAACCAGAGCTCTGTTTTTCTAATCGTTCATTTGTGTTCGTTTTAAATGTGGAGGAAACATTGCTTTGTTTTCTCTGTTTTGTTAAAACTGGTACCTACGACATGTAAGTACCACAATACACCACACCATCACAACTCATGAGACTAGGACACCAACCCCGTAAACCGACTGCAGTAGTTGGCCTCGCTACATCAACAACCACATAGATCTACCTCTATTGGTCAAATTTTATCTATTTTCAACTTTTTGTCTGATTGGGGGATCTTGTCCAGATAAGCCCCGCCACAAATAATAAAAGTTCATGGGCGAAATCTTAAAGCGCCGCCACTTGTAAGTTGTAACCAATTTCTGATGTACCAAAATACACTCATTTTCATGCAAATTATTAATGACGTCTAATTTCAACCTCTTCAACAAAATCTAAAAGTATGTTTCACATCCTCTTTATATAATCTCTTTTTTTGGTGGCGGGGATTAATTTTTTTTGGCGGGGGTTTATCTCGACAAGATCCCGATCGGGCTGTAGTAGTTGCTTCTATCTTTAGTTGATTAAAGTAGTTACACACATCTTATGGAAGTTATTATTACGCCGCCTGTGTCCTTACACCCAGTACATTTAGTGCTTGACATATGCCCTTACACCCAGCACACCTTATTGTAGGGTTTGTATCGAGCACGACATATCAGAGGGCATTGTCCTCGCAGCAGTCTAGTGGAAAAAAATGGCAGGCCATTTGTCCAAACCTCTAGCACACAACAGAACACATGCCCCCCACACATCATAACATCTTGTTCGGGGTATTATTTCCCCTTGCTCTATAATGATAAACATTGTCCTAAACAGTGACGGGGGGCTGGCGAGATGAATGGCCTATAATGAATGTCTCTCTACCCGCTTTCACATTGTGATGAAGCCGTTTATTACTCCGTGTTATCGACCCAGTTTCCACCGTCCCATCGAGCCCAGGAACATTTTCTACGTACCAAAGTTACCGCCCCTTTAGGTTATGTGTTGCGTCCCTTGAACTCAAGCGTTTTGTCCCTTGGCGTAGCCGCCACGCTAACTTAAAACAGGTCAAGATATTTATTATATTTTTATCTCCGGTAATTCCCTTTCTGTTGATAACAATGCTGAGTGAATAGTAAAAACGGTGCGGACTTTAAACACGGTGTTGTCCGCATACCTTTAGCTGTGCCGTACCTTGAAATACCTCGCGGTTACCCAAGCGTGGAGGTGGGGCCGGTCTCCCCCCCCCCATAGCCCACACTTGAACCTGTGGCCTCAAAATTCTAGTTGAGCCTGCTGATGTGAGGACCTTACCGTACATAGTTCTGACTAAAAGGGAATTATTTTTACATACAGACCGCAGCTGTGGCGCTTAATCCGTGTGTGTACGCACCAAGCTAGTTGCAAGTTTGGTGTGAAATTTTTACCTAAATGTTTCTAGTTGGAAAAGGAGAGAGAATTTTTTGTTTATTCACATGTGGCGCCGTTTGTATTTTTTTATTCTGTTTGACTGGGTTGATGGATGGACAGCTACACATGTGACTGGTAATGTACGGCGTGTACTAGGCCAACACCTGTTGAGATTGGATAATTCGTTTGCTTAAAGTTTAACTTCAGTTACCTGGGATTTACAAGCGTGTGTTCACTTCATTCGCCTTAGTTGTTTTTTTTTTCTTTCTGTGATGATTTTGTTAACTACTTAGATTTTTAAGTAAGGGTAACAACGTGTATGGTTATCGTCTTACTGTTTAACCTGTGATACAGAAAGAAGTAAAGTTAGGGTAAGGGTTAGGTTTAGGTCGTGTATGGTTATCTTCTTGCACTACAACATTGTATCTGTCTTTTTAGCGCAATTTCCATTCTG